TATTACGTACAAATCGTAAGTTCTCTGATGGACAAGACCGGTGTTAGTGAGCATCCACGACTTGACATTCGGATCCAAGCTGCAGCTGTACATCGTGTTGTCTATCGCCGTTATATCCTTGATACCTGCGCTATGTGCGCATATGCGGCCGGAATTCTCGATTTCATGAGATAATTTCTTGCGTGAGGGAATTTCCTTGTAAAGTAAGTGTCTGTTTGACGTATAAACTACATGAGAGATTCCATTCTGAAAGCGGGAATATTTATCATTATATCGTTTTCTACAAAGAGAGTAGGGCCACTTGACATAATATGGTACCTACTACATGCATCAGTGACACAGCATCTTGAAAGGAATTATGTGATTTCTTCATGAACAATCTATTCTTTTGCTGTTTCCACAGTGCTGTTTCTTGTTTGATTGTAACGTATGACAACATCCAACACAGTTCGTCGGGTGTCGCTGTAATTGATACGTGACTTCTTACATTAAAAAATATGAAAACTTATTCATATCATAATACTGATTGTGAATACAAAAAAATCATACACATATAATTTGAATTAAGTACAAATAAACTACAAACAGATTCTGGATCGAATGTCTACACAGAGAGAAAAGAAATTTTAATAAAGTCTAAATCCATTTTCTTAATATTATTTTTTTATTGAAGTAAATATATTCATGATAGTTAAATCAAAATATTTAATTCTAAATAAAAATGTATAATTCTACATAAAAATGGTTATTATATTGCGTAAATAAGCTGTTAAGAACCACATAATAAATATTCTTTTTAATAACAATATTTTCTTTTCAGTGTATTCAAGTTCTTACTTTATGCACATCCGATTGTTGCAATAAACAGAGTCGTACAAGCTTTCTCGATACGACTTTTTATAAATAAAAAAAGATAGAGATTAAGAAATGTATAATGTTTTGTAAAACACGCTTATTTTTTTTAAGACGAAAATGAACTAAAATACTACAAAATATGAAATCTATAACGCGATGTATGCAACTAATGTGCAATTTGCAAATGCTTGCAGAAACTCGAACAGCGCTGGCGTAAAATGGCATACAGAGTGTTTTATTTATTCACAAAAATAATTGGTCGTGCAAGGCGTAAGGTGCTATTAATTTAAACTAACCGGGAGGCAAAAGCGGGTAGCTAGCATCTGGCCATATATGGTTAATTCGTGCTTTCCACAATGAGTTTGCATCTTTTAAAGTCTGGTAGAATTGTTTGCACACTAAGCTCAAACCGTGTACCAACGTCGACCCATCTAGAAAGGAACAAATATGCAGGAATATCTGAAATACAGCAGAATAAAAAAATTAAACGCACAACCAAACAAACGCTCCGGAAGAGATGGAGATAGAACAAAAGAGAGAGTCGACCGTTGCTCGTTCATCACCCTTCACTCCTTCGACAAGTGACTGTTTTTACTACGGAACTTTTCGGAATAGATTCTGATCGAAATTGCTTAGTTTTTTTTTTAGATTTTTATCGTGCTTTTTTCTAGAAGAAAAATCCTGATTAAAATCCATTCTTAAAAGTTCCCTAATGCGTGACTAACGGATGCAATAATAGCGACGATTAAAAAAAATAATTTCGTGCACCTGTACGCAGGCATGCGTTACACGGGTTTTTCATTTTTTCTTATACGAACCTCCACCGGGAGACACTGCAGTGGCGACAGTTGTGCATTTTCTTCGCCGTCGTAGGCGCAGCTTAGATTCTCGTTATCCATTTTATCTCGCGGTGAATCTGAATAGTTTTATTTAGTCTGTTCGAGACTGACTCGGTGGCTCAACGAAGGCGACTGAGAATGATGTGATTAGTGTAAACACGGAAGAATCGCCGTATATTCAGTGCTTAAGAAAACTAAAAGAAAAATACAATGACAAGATTTTTATAGCGACAAATAAGAAGATTATTACTACTATATGTTTCCAAATCAAAGGATATACAATTTTATCGATTTATTAGTATGAACGAAAGAATGTTGTTCGAAAGCGGACCGCGCACGCGAGCGAGGACACGAACCGCGAATTGGAAGAGACAGTCAAAGAGTTGACGGACAAAGCACAGTTTATTTTCTATTTACAATATTTACAAAATGCAGAATCGCGAATATAAGAATGGTAGAGATCGTGTCGCGAGAAGCGCAAGCGAACGCCGAAGCAAGCAACTCGAACAAAAACGAGCAAAAGAGCAAGCAACACTAACTATTAAGCGCAAGCGAAAAGGAGCGAGCAACTCGAACGATTGACGGCGGCAACTCGAATAACAGAGAGCGACTGACCCCGTTGCCAATAGCGCGCGTCCCTTTAAGCTCTCGGGGGCTTCTCGCAAATTCGAGACTTTTCGAATACACGCGTCACCGAGAGAAGTCCCCGAGAGATCCGTGGTCGACAATTATAAACACAGGAAACAAAGCGAACACGCAAAGACCATTCGCTCGGCAATGCTTTGCTTCCACTGTTTATTTGTTCGGTCATCACGCCGAAAGTCACGGCGATAACGCTCGAGTCTCGGTGCTCGCAATTGCGGTGCTGAAAATCTAATTTATTATTTTGGCTCCGCTATCGACAGAAACGTTTAAGCAATCTTAAACAAAAGTCGATGAATGGAAAGAACGCCTTCGAGTAGTCACTGCAGCTACAGCCATTATTCGGGAAGATATTCGGTCACAAATCAACGACACGTCTGCATATCCTTCAAGCGAAGGTTTTTTGACGGATTGTAAAAAACTACATACCGAAATCCCTCAATATTTTTCTGGAAAACTTTATAGCTAAAAAAAGAAAATACCCATCGCAGCAGCTCGAACAAAAATGCATTTCAAATATTTCAATAGCGCACGCTATTATATTGGCGACTAGGCCAAGATTTATCTTGTCACCTTTTTTAATCAGCGTTGCTGCTTTATTATACCGGAAATTTGTCTCTAAAAATCTAGTGCCGTTACTATCTAGCTTGGGCTTCAGCGCATCATATATACATAATGAAATACAGTTATTAGAAGCTTCAGCTGTCAAGCATTGGAAGCTTGACGAGAATGATTTCTTCGTAATCGATATTGAAGATCGAGATAATGATCATAGCCCTGCAGATTCACAACCTCAGGAAACGGCTCAGAAGAATCTTGCAGACGCTACCCCCAGTACTAGTCGTGTACAACAATTTTAAATAGTAAGAGTTGCCAAATTTTCATATATACAGGAAATATCACGCACACATTTGATATTTTTTGTTTATTTATATTTTTTCTTACAAATTCTACACCGAGAGTATGATTTTTATGACAGCGTGAAACAAAATACAAATATCCATATATTCAACAGTGTGTATTACATAAAAACTATTAAAGATATGAAAAAAATGTATTGGACCTTTTTTATAGAAAATTTAATAGCCTTCATTACGATGCGATCAACGATTACCGAGATATGAGGGAAAAACTGAATTAGAACACCTTTTTTTCAAGATGACGGATCGAGTCCTGCAGATAGAGTTCCGGACTTTTAGTATGTTCAATAGTATGCCAAGATAAAGGTCTCCACCAATTTATAGCTTTTTACCGGTTATTTTTTCTATTCGCTATATTTTGATCTAATTTGACTGGACTAAAGATGTGTCGCGAATGTCATAATTTTGCTTACTTTTTTTTTTAAATAAATACTGTAATATTTGCTGCAGTACTCAGGGACAAGCCTATAATCTGCATAAAACAGAAGAAATAGTTAGTTTTGGCATTAAAATTGGGGAAAAAACTTGCAAAAAACCCATAGCAGTTATTGGTTGATGGGTCGAGGGGGAAGGATAAGGAGCAAGGAAATAAGGAAATATGTGTGTTCACACCGAATCTAAGAAATGCTTGGGAAGCTTGCATCTGATAGTAAGTGAAATCTCCTTTGTATTATTGTAATCGCCCGTATTACTTATGAGTGGATTCTCATGGTCGTGATTGTATATATGTTTTAAGAATCATACTTCTGATAACTTCACTTATATACTCAGTCTGCGTTTGGGTGTGCAACTCAGTGACACGTAGTTTAGGAAGGTTTAGGATAATTCAAAGAAATTTATTTTGCATTGTCTGAATACGTTTAAAGTAAGATTTACGAGCTGCGGCCCATACCGGAGCCGCATAAAGTAGCACCGATCTTGCACAAGTTTTGTACAGCATAGTTTATATTCGGTTTTAAGTTTACTCGCTTTGTTTATGACAGGACATAACTTTCGGAGCGCTCCTTGGGTTTTATTGACTCTGTCTTCTATAGCCGGTTTCCATTTTAAGTTAGCGTCAATGTTTACGCCGAGATATTTTACTTTTGTGGCCCCAGGAACCTTGTAGCCTGACATGTTTATAAATGGAGATTTAGGAAATTTTTTTGCGTGATAATTATAGCCTCTGTTTTTTCGTTGTTGATAACCATCTTCCAACTTTTGAAAAATTAGACGATAGCATCAACGTGCCTTTGCAGCCTGCTGACGAGTAAAGCCGGGCTCCACGAGGAGGTGTACACAGCAGTATCATCAGCATAGACCGCGAGCTCCGTCTTAGGATCTTTGGGGATATCATTTATGAAGATATTAAATAAAATGGGCCCCAAGATAGAATCCTGAGGAACTCTAGAGATAGCGTCATAAATGGATGAAGTTTTGTCTTCAAAACTTACAAAAAAATTTACGATTCATTAAGTAAGAGCGGATAATTTTAATTAGAAATTCTGGCATGCTAAGAGTGTTCAATTTGTATATAGTAAGGGTTTGTGACAGACTGAATCAAAGGATTTATGAATGTCTAGTAAAGTCATGGCTGAATTTTTTTTTGTTTATCTCCATGGCGAAAAATTCGCGGTAACTCTGAGCAATTGTTGCACGGTTGAGTATCGCGCCCTAAAGCGAAACTGCTCGTTGATGATTATATATTAATTGTTTTCAGATAAGAAGGCATGAATCTGCGTAAGTAAGACCCTTTCACATACTTTGCTTAATGTGCTTAAAAGACTAATAGGTCTGTAGTTAGCCGGAAAGGTTTGTGGCTTGCCCGGTTTCGGGAACGCAAGTATTTTTGCTGCCTTCCAACACGAGGGGAAGTAATATAAACGAAAAGAGTTTAAAATTATGTAATAAATCTGAACTACAACCTTACGTGAAGAATTTTTTAACATTGCAGTAGTAATTTTATCTAAGCCAGGAGCCTTATATTGTTTGGAAATGATTTAATGATTTCAAAAATTAAGCAAGGGGTTATGAATTTTAAATCACAATGAGGTGTCTTTTCATTTAATATTTTAATATAATGATTTATTGCATTTTTATATGGAGAAGTTAGACCGTCCGCTTCTTGATATATACTTTTTGGAAATTCTTTGCCAATAATTTAACTTTATCTTTTGGGTCATAAGCAAACAAGTTATTTCCAAGATCAAAAGGTGGAGCAGGAGTTTTATTTCTCTGCAGCAACTTCCAGAGTCCCCAGATACTGTTATCACTGATTTTGATTCTTTTTAGTCGATCAGACCATTTTTTGTTTTTGGCTTCATTTAACTTATTTCGTATCATATTATTAAGAATGTTACGGTATAGCTTATATTTGTCTGTACCAAGATGTTGGAATTTTCTACGATAGTAGTTACGCAGTTTGATAAGCTTGTTAATTTCAGAAGAAACTGTAAGGTCTGAAGTTACATGGTTAAAGTTGTGACTAACAATTAGTATCTCGGTGAACTCACCCCCCAAGGCCATGTACTATATGCAAAAATCTATCGATTCCTGATTTTGCAGGCTATGTCTAATTCTCCATTTACTTGTAGCAGTATTAAAACCTTCCCAGTTGACCTTATGAAATTGTTTTAGATTTCTCTTAATTTTTTATTTTTCAAGGTTTAATAAAATGGGAAGGTGATTGCTGTCATGCACGTAAAGTCACAGTTCAGATCCCTAGCAAGAAACAAGTCAATATTGGAAGGCCGTCTACGGGGTGCCTTATGTGAATACGTGGAGCTTTGCATAATATTAAGATTGTTTTTATTTGCATAGTTTAACAGTTTAATGCCTCTATTATCGTTATAAAAGTTATTCCAAACACGATGCTTGGCATTGAAGTCTCCGCCAATGAATATTTTATCATACGAGTTATTTTTAAAAATTTCATCTTTATTGAGTTCAAATTTGACGTTGTGAGAGATATACGTAACTTCTAGAGTCATATTTACTCCAGACAGTAATTTTATCAGCAATATTTTGCATCCATCAATATCTGGTATGGGAAGAGTGTGGTAGCGCAGGGCCTTATTAATTATAATCGCAACACCGCCTGCCTTGACACGAGTCGCATCCAAGCGAATAAAATCAAAACCTGAAAAATTTAATTTGGTGTCAGGATGCAACCACGTTTCCGTAATAAGAGCGATGTCGATATTGTTAGAACAAATAAATTGGTGTAATTCCATTTCTTTATTATTAATGCTAGTAGCATTCCACAAGCAGATCTTTAGAGGAGAGGTAGAAGGAAACACTTTAATTTATAAGATCAGTTGCCTCGACGAACATCTGTAGCTTACTGAGGCCATCTGTACACGTAGCAAGTTTTTTATTAAAGTCTCTTATGATATTGAACATTTATTTTATGTTAACTAGTTTACTCAGCTTTTTCTCACACAGAGCATAACATCCAACAGATATCGATTAAATATCTGTTGGATGTAGGGGAGAGTGGAGTAATTGTGAACACGGGGTAAACGCGAACAATTACTATTGTTGTAAATTAGAATAGTGATATTCTCCTACTTCTCGCACCCAGCGATAGTCCGATATACGCTCAGAGTACGAGAAGTCGGAAAATATCACTACTCTAATATACTATACAATACAATAATATCGTTCGCGTTTACCCCGTGTTCACAATTACCCCACTATGCTCTGTGTGGGTTGATTTCAAGGATTAATCTGTTAAAATCTGCCATGTCCCCTGAGTTCGCAAAGTTACTCATATTGTTATCGCTACTTTGTTCGTTAGACCTTTTCAAGGCCTCAGCATAGGTTCTAGGAGGCGAGTAGTAAACAAGTTTGTTCGTTGGGGCAACTGATCCATCGGACAAAGAAAAATCAAGATTAGCAAGATATGACTCATGTCGTATGTTGGAAATTTCAGCAGAGTTCACATGCAAGTTTTTATTAATATCATGCAGAGCCGAGCGAATCGGACGAGTAGCAGTCGTCCGTTTTTCTAAGAACTTTAAATAAGATTGACACTTTGAGTAGCTCGCGGGGTGTTCTCCTGAGCAGTTACAACATTTTGCCGACGAGTTTAGATCTTTTGTACAGTTGGACGTGAGATAATTTTCTGCACATTTGACACATCTGGGTTTTTTAAAACAATTAGTGGAGGTATGGCCGAACGCTTGGCATCGGTAGCATTGTAAGATAATTTTTCTGTTAATGTATTTGTCCTAATATATTCTTGAGTAGAATAAGTAACGGATTTTTCTTAATTGCGTGAGAGAAAATTTGGCACTCAAATTGATTTTGTATGTAGCATAAGTACTTTTTTCATCATTAAGCTGTACGCATGAGTTTATCTCTATACCGAGTTTCTTTAATTAATTGGAGATAGTAAGGTTTGGTATGTTTGGAAAACCTTTTAATGTGATTGTAAGTGTCTTATCCTCTGGAAGAGAGTATAGGTATGAAACGCGAACTGCTTGTCTATTGCAAATTTTTTAAGACTGATATATTCAATTTATCTTGAAAACCTGAATTTTAATTTGGTTGCCAAGAAACTTAAGATGGAAATTTTCACCTACACTTTGTGTCAACTGATTCGCGAATTCTGTATAGTCATTGATTCTAGATGCAAAATATATTGGAGGAGGTTTTTTATTAGGTTTATGTTCCACCGAATTTGCTACCGATGCCGCGTCACGATCCGCTGACTCACACTCTTTACTCACATGCTCATTATTTGAAAGAACTACGTGATCCTCGTCTTCTCTCTCAAGAATTTCTACCGTCTCGGCTAGGCATTGAAAACGATTAGAAATACTAAACTGATCTTGTAACGGAGAGTCGAATTCAACACGTGGTAATTTGTCCTGACCGGATAGGCCGAATACGTTCTCTTCGGCCTGTCGCTTCAGCGGCAGCCTAGCAGATTTCTTACCCTCCAAATTGGTGTCCAGGCACCTGTTTTTCAGGAGACACCTCGTTGGGCTCGCCGTCCAGTCGACCGTCCTTTTGATGGCACCGTTGTTAGCCCTTGTTGGCACAGTACACACGAACTCAGCTATCGCAGAGTCACAGGAGAGCTTGGATTATGCGAAAGACTGAGTATGCTCCACCGCAGCGTCATGATTTTGATTCGCCGGAGGCCTGCTTATATTAGATCCCAACTGAAATTTACTTGCAAATTAGTTTTAACATTATGAGCCGCCTAGGCCTAGCGGGATCGTTGCAAACTAGCACAGAAAGATATGCTGTATGGGTAATAATTTGCATAAATACGCATTTATATACAGCAGAATTCAACAAGAATTACGGCAGATGCTTGCGTAAGAAGTAGAACAGCAGAAATACAAATGATTTTGGCAGAATATACTGTACATCTGATTTATCAATCAAACATTTTTCGAAATTCGTAACGCCAAAATGGACACCGTCCCTTATAAAAATTTTTCACTGTTTTTGGACCGCGAGAACGGTCAGTTTGAGTAGTAAAAACGTGCATTTGGCAATGAGTACGACCCGTTTTTGGGGCGCAAAAGGGCCCTTTTGCTTAAAAACGAGTGGTTAAAGCGGATTGTGTACGATTGCATACTCGCGTATACTCATCATGTAGACTGCGCGTGCTTGAGTGCAAGAAACGGACATAAAAATGATAAAACGGGCTAAAAACGATCTATGTGAGGTGTAAAAGCGGTGAAATATTTTTGTAAGGGTAGCCTACATTTCACAGCACAAAACTATAACAGTTTCACAATCTTCAGTTAACTTACAGTAATTATTTCTATAAATATTTATATAACATAAATTAAAAACAACTTTAATAATATTGATAATAATTATTTACACTTTATTTTAAAATATTTATTATAATCTTTTAGATACCTACTTTTATTTTCCGAACATTAAAATATTTCCAAAATATTCAACGTATATATTTTCAAAATATTGAAATCTTTTTTATAAATATTTTGTACTATCTGGGAGTTTAGCGCGCTCGGCTGTTCTTTTTCTGACGGGCAGATGCTTGCACGCTTTTTTCGCATTTCTGTCACTCGGGTCTGATGTTACGGCAAAAACAACAATTTAAGCGACATTATGCACTTGTGAAATTTTGCTGCAAATATGTTTCAAGAGTCTAGCACACTCGACTGCTCTCTTTTTCTGACGGGTAGATGCTTGCACGTTCTTTTCGCGTTTCTGTCGGTCGGATCTGTACGGCAAAAACAACAATTTAAGCGACATACACTTGTGAAATTTTGCTGCAAATATGTTTCAAGCGTCTAGCACACTCGACTAGTCTTTTTCTGACGGGTAGATTCTTGCACGTTTTTTTCACGTTTCTGCCGATTAGATCTGTACTCAAAACTCTGCTGCAAATGTTCGTGAAGAGTCTAACGCAATTTGCTGTTATTTTTCTGTTGAGCAGATACTTCCATATTGTTTTCACATTTCTGCTGCATGTTTATTTTTAACAAATAGTACAAAATTTCACAGTAGCTTCTTACAGCAGACTACTGCAATAGTACAGTATAAGTACTCGTTCAATCATAGATATATTATGAGAGCAGTCTAGGTCTATTGCGCCATATTTTCAAGAATTCTTTTGTCATAGTAAAATGTATTGAAATATCTCGAAACTTTTATATATTATGTCACATATATTGAAATACATAAAAAAATTTCTTTTTCTTAATTATGGCGACAAATGTAAGGGTATCCCATAGAAATCTGGTTGACATGATATCTCGAGTTAGAAACGTCTGAAACAAAAAATTCAAACGGGATATTAAAATATAAGTAAGTGGCTATAGCCGGTACTAAAATTAAACATTTTGGGTAAAAAGAAACAAAATGGCGGACTTTTCAATATCTCGATCTTTTTTTTGCAACTAAAAAAGTCTGCCATTTTGTTTCTTTTTACCCAAAATGTTTAATTTTAGTACCGGCTGTAAATTCATTATTATCATTATTAATTTATTATGTCATTTTGAGTTTTCTTTTAACTCTGCCGTATTGAACTACAATTGTGCTAATTTTTGCCGTAAATACGATAGCAATACTTTATATTGTATTAAAAAAAAAATTTAGCTCAATCGGAAACTAATGCGGTACTTTAAAATTTTTTTTTTAGAAAAGGATACTAACTGGTTTAGTAAAAAAAATACTGTGCCATGTTGTGCCGTTCAAAAAACATCGATATATCTATCTATTTAGTAGAAAAAAATAACAATATATAAACAAATATTGTTATAACGCAATTTATCGTATTTCTACTATATTGTACTAATAACAGAGAACACAATAAAAAAAAAAAAAAAAAAAACAATAGCCATAACTCAAGGAATTGATAAAAAGTCAATTATATTATATATGGGAATAGGTAAAACATAAATTTAATATTTTTTATTTTTTTTAAGTTGTGTCGGGTAGTGTTCGACTCTTTTTAATGACAAAAAACCACACCAATTATTGGATTTTAAAATACGACTACTGTTAGGAACTTAGGTTTTAGGAATAGAAAAATTCGAAATTCCATCCTATCTGAACCATGGTAGATAATCACGTTTTGTAAATTCTGTTGAGTTGTGCTAAACAAAACAACTGAGCGACAATCGAAACAAGTACGGAAAAATCAATGGGATTGAAAAAATTCAGCAAAATGGAGGAGGATAAAAAAATTTGGCAGCACAATTTTTAATAATTTAAAAACGTCAAATTTTTATGTTCATTTACTTTTCGACTTTTTTCACTAAATAGATAAATATATCGATGTTTTTTCAATGGTACAACGCAGCATGGAGTTAGTATCTTTTTACTAAAAAAAATTCAGTTTAATCGAAAAATAGTATACTAACAAATTTTTTTTTTAACTTTGAATACGGTTCAAAATATCATGTTCATATTTGCGGCAAAAATTAGCACAATTGTAGTTCAAGACTTGAATACGGTATATACGGTTAAAAAAAAACTCACAATTCAACAAATACGGGGTTATCTTCACAGAGGTAACGCTCCCGAAATATTTGACATTGATACATAAAAAAAAACGAGTAAAATGAGTTAATATGCAGTGAATTAGGTTTGACGAATAAACTTTGGAATCGCGTTTTCAAATTATCTGTTTCGACAAGCAAGACACGAAACGCACTATTTGCATTCGAATAATTTGGTAGAAAACGATTATTTCTCTCATAAACAGGAAGCATTTTCCTCACTCAATCTTCTTATCGCGAAGCGGCCGAAAAGAACAGTTTTGCTATTACGTACAAATCGTAAGTTCTCTGATGGACCAGACCGGTGTTAGTGAGCATCCACGACTTGACGTTCGGATCCAAGCTGCAGCTGTAGATCGTGTTGTCTAACGCCATCAGATTTTTGATACCTGTACCTACTGTGTGCGAATTTGATGCAGGCGGAATTCTCGATTTCATGAGATAATTTCTTGCGTGAGAGAAGTTCCTTGTAAAGAAAGTGTTGATTTGACGTATAAACTACATAAGAGATTCCATTCTGAAAGCGGGAATAATTATCATTATATAGTTTTCTACTAAGAGAGTAGGGCCACCTGACATAATATGCTACCTCTAATACTGCATCAGTGACACAGCACCTATAATATGGGACCACGTGTTTTCCTGATGAACAATCTCTTCTTTCTAGACTCTTGCTGTTTCCACAGTGCTGTTTCTTGTTTGATTGTAACGTATGACAACATCCAACACAGTTTGTCGGGTCTCGCTGTAATTATACGTGACTTCTTACATAAAAAAATATGAAAATTTATTTATACCATAATATTAATTGTGAATACAAAAAAATTCATATACATATAACTTGAATTAAGTATACAAATAAACTACAAGCACATTCTGGATCGAATGTTTACACAGAGAGAAAAAGAATTTTAATAAAGTCCAAATCCATTTATTTAAAATTATTTTTTTTATTGAAGTAAATATTTATGCTATTTAAATAAATGTAAAATAAGTGTAAACGAACAATAATATTAAAAGAAATGTGTTATGTAAGATAATAGTCAAATTCAATTATATTATAAACTATTTTATTATTATCATGGTTCTATAGTAATGATAATGTCACTGCAAAATTAAGAAACATATATAAAATGCATATATAAAATGCGCTCGAATGGTATTAATGTATCATTATTAAGTTTATTTGTTTAATTTATGAATATAAGTCACTCTAATATGTACCTACATAATATAATCTTAAGATTTATTATAAAAAAGATATAGAAGTAATATTCTCACACAACTTACTTTTAAATTTATTCTGTAAAAAGAGAAATTTGTCTGATAGGCAATCCATCTTTATACATTGCATGTTTCTTTAAATTTTTATTTAATAAAGCTTATAATGTTTAAATCATGTAATTCTCATGTGTGAATCAAGTATAATTTAATTAAGAATCAATAATATTATGTCAAGTAATATTCAAAACGAAGCTTTTCACAAAGTTTCATCGAAATCGGAGGAGGGCCGTTTTCGGAAGTTTATCCATATTTTATGTTATTACATTGCATACGTAATACATTCAAATTCTCTTTTTATAATAATAAAATTTAAAGATATATTATAGAAAATTATGTATTTGTATCCCTTGTTACACATGAAATACTTTATACCTATGGCATACTGACAAACTTAAGTGCAGATGACTATTTTGTTGTTAAAATTATAGACAATACGCCGGGCACGCCAAGGATACTGCTGGCGATTATGTCCATCTTCGATTGTTGTCTCTGCTTATTATCGATGTAACTAAACTCTTTTCAATTTCTGCACCTCTCGTTACGCTATCTGTTGTATTCTATATTTTTATTTTATTTAAATTACATAATATACTTATGTAAGAAAGTAAACTAAAATAATAAAGTAATGCAATTAGTTTTTTTCTTAACAATTTGATCGAAGGATAACTTTGATATTTAACATTTATAGACAGAAGGTTAAGAAGTTACTATCCATCTTTTTAATTATTTCCCGTTTTTATTTAGGATAAATAAAGAATGTACAAATTGTGATTAATCATGTATAATAATTTGTTTATTTTTAATAGTTTAACATTATGTAGAATGTAACAATATTGTTTTCAGTATTTATTAACTAATTTGAATTGTTGTTAGCACGCGCACGATCTATCTTTAATTTAAAAATTAGAAATATTGTAATAAAATACCAATAGAATTATGTTTCAAAAGTACATTAATCAGTAACAAATGGTGGATTAATAATATTAATTAATATTAATTCTATATACATATATTACAACAATTAACTACTTAAAATATATATATTAAAATATGTATTGTATATTAGCGAGTGTCAAGTACATATTTAAGATTAAATAGAACAAGTATATATTTAATATAACTGTTTATAACTGTTATTTGTTAAATAAAATAAAAATACGAATAGCGATACTTTTTGCCATAAATGTTTCCTTATCGAATCAAAAATTACTACTTAAATTACTAACTTAAATTAGTTTTTATTTCATATAGGTTCGGAATAGAAAATATCATTATTCATTTATGCTGCATATTTATTTACGTTGAATAATATGTAATATATAATAATTCGTCATCGGTATACAGTGATACGTCGTCAATATTGCCGTCATTAATAACTACTAATTTTCTGTGCAATCCAATCATTGAATTTGGACACTCTGGTGTACACGGATGGCGCGCCTGGAGTACCGCATGGAATAATACCCCAAGATACTATTCCAGTGAGCACCGGCTTTTGTTCATTGTACGAGACTAGAGGACCACCGGAATCACCCTAAAAATGTATTAAAGATTTTGATTAAATCGCCACGTTAATAGGCGACGTTACTCGATCTGTTACGGTGATTTACTAAATTTATTGAACGTCTGGAACACTTACACTGCATGCGGAGATTTCATCGTACAACGGCCCAGTGCAGACATTGGTTTCATGAACGGGAGAAGATCCAGTCAAACGCACGACGGATTCGTGACAAACATCGCGATCGACGTACTCCTTCTGAACGTGCTGAAGTATTTCTGGCATTTTCGGGAAATAGCCTTTCGAGGTGGAGCCCCATCCAGCAAGCCATGCCTCTCCCGATGGGTCACTTTCTGGTGATGCCAACTCGATGGCTTGTACTCGGTTCGTCAACTTCAATGGGGACGCAAGCTTAAGCAGACCAATGTCATATGGGCCAACACCACTGAAATTTAGAAAATCGATACAAATATAAAATTATATATTTATTAATAACGAACCTTTAAAGATAATTGTTATACTAGAAGAATTGTAGATAGTATTAGTGGAAAAATAACAATAATCTACAGAGTTGACGGAAATATTTTGTACATATAAAACAACAGATCCCGAGATTTATTTAATGCATCATCGCTTATCTGAGATATAGTTTTTCGTGGTTCATCGCTTATCTGATATACAGTTTTTCTAATCGTAAATATTAAGTGATAACCAAAATATCAATATGCTGCGTCATTATTAGTAATTTTAATTATTGTAATTTATTCTATAAATAGAGCGGCTCTGATTATTGATGCAAAAAAAACATTATATTCTAGATTGCTAATATACGCAATTACAAGTCAATTATAAATACAGCATTAATTATATATTAATCCGAATAAAAACTAATTGTTCGTATTTATTGCTTTTCAACGTTTTACTTACCCCCCATATTTTTCATGTACAAAACCTTGCGAAACTTTGACCGTCTGTTCGTTGGGCTCATTACGTAGAATATGGTGCTTCCCAGCCTTGACGCTAATATAATTTGCAGAAGAAACTGCTTGAACGCAGTGCGCTGCAGTTATGATCCAGCGTTCGTTCAAAATGGATCCGGCGCAGAAGTGCTGGGAGTATGCGTGAAGGGAAACTATGTACGGGTAAGCACCTTCCGGTGCCTCTTCACCTCCGACCACCTGAGGTAAAAAATGCGGCAAGATCGGCATCTGAAGACCGACTCGGGGCCTTGGGCTCGCTAAAATTTAAATTAATAATATTTAAAAAATATATATTCTCGCCAGAAGAAGTAACACACCAAAGATAGTTCTATAAAATATAATTAGAAAAATTTGCAATAATATAATAAAAACTAAGTCTTGTTCTTTCTCTTGCTTAATATAATCCATGAAAGAAAACGATAATTTTATTATTATTTGTATAATAAATTTGAGACTTTTTAATAAGAGTAATTTCTTATGTGTTGCTTTAGTGTTTATTTTTTGTAACTTAATGAGTGTTTTTATCCAAATTACATGTGTTGTATAAATTAAGAAAATTGACTTACCGGCGATTGCCACTGCTAGGAGAGCAAAGGATACGATTGCTTTGGAAAACATTTTGCTGATTGATGTCAAACCCACGAATTGAGGGTATTTTATACTCGTTTTATGGAGTACATCCATATGATATCTGAACGATCAATGATGTCGCTTCGCTGATAATCCATTGTAATCTACGAAAATTCGTTTACGATAAGAAAGATTTACTGTAGACAGTCTTACGACTTAATTGTATTGATATCAATATTGAATCAAATAGTACGTCGCAGCTAATTTTAACGAACAATGCTACTAGTCCTATATATTGTGTATATATATCGTCAATATAACAAAATCTGTATAATTAATTCAGCGATAAAAAATAGCTTCTTTAAAATTAGATACATTGATATAAAATGTATAAATGTATAAGTTTACAGTTACATATGTAAAAAAAGAAAATGTATTATTTATCCACATTTTATATTTAAAATTTTATTTATTTATTTACTCACTTTAATCAATCTTTTTTTTTATAGAAAAAAGCGCTTATCAATAAGTTAAACAAGAATATCAGCTAAGACAATAATATTAAGAAATGCATATTAAAATTAATAATGCATATTTTAATTATTCTGATAATGATCGTAACTTTGAAATAAATTAAATTTAACAAGAAACAATAAATATAACAATAATAAAAATTATTATTAATTAGAAATTAATCTTTCTTATTTGTTATTTGTTTCGATATTATTTAAATCACTGTATTAACATGCTAATCAAGTATAAAAGTTATTTAAATAATAACAATGAAACATTTTTTTAGCTTTAACCAATTAAGCTACAATTCAATTATGATGGATCATCCAGTAGATAAACTTCTTGTATTGTCGTTATCTGATTATGATCAATCATTATCTCTCAACAAAAATATGTAAAAAATGCGGAAAAACAATAATCCGGTTTATAATAAAAAGAGTGGATTTATTTTTGATTTATTTATTTATCAAGATTGTCTGTGATAAAAACGTACTTCCCGGTTTTAGGTCAATGAAATAAAGAGTTTAGATTAGGAAGAAAATTATTATGGAGGGGATAAAAGCATAAAAGCTTGAATTATATACCTCTTTCTGCGAAATATTTTGTTTGTTTATTTTTATCTGTCATTTACTTTCAACGAACCACTCTGCGTTGTAAGTACAATTTCAACTCAGTACATTACAGATAATATAAGCAATTATAATTAATCAAATTAATTATATAAACAAATTTAAATATATTTAAGTTAACATTTCGTATTAGCTATGATAATAACAGAATAAGAATATAAATAAGAAAAATGAGCTAATAAAGATTTGAAATTATTCCTTGATTAAAGATATTTTTCTCATCGTCAATGCAGAAAACAATATTTATTATATGTATATAATAATGCACTTTAGCTTTTTTTATATCTTATTTACAAGTTTATAACATATAATAGTACAACAGTTACATACAACAGTTTTTAACAAGTATTAAAAATAATTATATTCGGTAATATCTGTTTTACGAATAAGAGCAAATTAATCGTTAAATTCAATGTACAATATCATTTATATGTATAAATATAAATTAATTTTCTTCAATCTTGTTAACAAGCTCAGAATTAAGAATTAAAATGTTATAGAATTAAATTATTTAAATTAGATATTTAAATTACATAAAATATACTTATGTAAGAAAATAAACTAAAATAATAAAGTAATGCAATTAGTTTTTTCTTAACAACAACATTTGACCGAAGCTTTGATATTTAACACTTATAGACAGAAGATTAAAATGTTACTATCCATCTTTTTTTAATTGTTTTCCCTTTTTAGGATAAATAAAAAATGTACAAATTGTAATCAATCATGTATAATAATTTGTTTATTTTTAACAGTTTAACATTATGTAAAATGTAACAATATTTTTCTCAGTATTTATTAGCTAATTTTAATAGTTGTTAGCACGCGCACCTTTTTTTAATTTTTGACGTACGATAATACAATGTATAAAATAAAATATATTTAAATACTCTTATGGCACTTATTATAGAAAAAAAATATATTTTCTTTTATTTTCTTCTCAATATAAAAGATCCCATCATGATTACGCAATAATTATGAGATGTGTTTATAATTATAACTATAATTATATCGCTCAGTTTATAAACGCAAGAGATGTTAGTAAAACTTTTACTCAAAGGAATTTTAAACAAAACGATACGTACTTCTAATTTTGCAGAATTGTATAGGTATATATTACATTGTACATTACATTGTGTATATTACATTGTACATTAAAGAGACGTGTTTGAATAGTACCTTACAATTAGTAAAAACTAAAAACATACATCACATATAAAAAAAATACAGCTGTAGAATAGCTATAGATCACGTATAGAAACTTTCCATTTATTGTTGTTTCGTTGAACACGTTTCGTTGAACACGTCAACTTCGGGCACCATACCTCGATACCATCACCAGATATTGCGAGAGTGCCATTCAGATAGTCCATCTGCAACATAAAACACACGAACAGTTACATACAATATTCAACAAAATTCACGAAAAATGTTGTCAATTTTAAGGATTTTACTTACATTCGGAAAACATCGATAAAATCTGATTTCAAAGTTTAAATGTAAATAAAAATTTAATTATCAAACTGTATTTTTTATTTTACACGTTGATGTTTAACGAATTTTTTTTTCGAAGTCAATGATACGATACGTTACATACGATAGATACAATGATACTTGTTTTATCTTATTACCAATGATATGATATTTTCAGCAAATCTTATTCGTGCGATACTCACGTCGTAGATACCTCCAAACTCTGAACATAAAGTAGCGATGGGCTTTGGCGGATCCGTAAGGCTCGAAATTCTGACAGTGCCGTCCTTAGAACTTGTTATTAGGCATTCGTGAGTCAGATGCACTCTCGTTATTCTTTTCGTATGCTCGGTGGAATAAGATTTCACTAGCTTGAAATCGTCCTTTGGATTTAGCACGTGCAACTGCGAGGAGTCCCAACTTCGAGGTGTTGTTGCAACGAAAACCAAATCCCGTCGCATATTTATACACGCGGTGCGGTGCGCTTCACCTGGAAACTAAAAAGTACACCTTCGACATCGTGTCTCGTTTCTCGATGTTAAAATTTGACATTACTGTGATAGACTTCATGATCCGTCCGGCTCTTTGATCCCAAACGGATACCGTGTCCTCGGCGGCGGACAGGATGTATTCCGTGTTCATGGTCAGCCTAATATTCTGGACTGTGAATAGGGTGCGATGTTGGTAATGCCTGATCGGGTTATTTCTCGATCTCGAGTCGAACACGTATATAGTCCCGCAGTCTAAACCGGTTGCAAAGAGGTTTCTCCCCGGACCCAATGACGTCGATGACATACACATACACATACATGATGGCCATAATGACGAGAATCTGAGATCGCTCCTCGGTCTGTGAAAATAAACCTGCACTTTTTGAATTTTATATTTTCATCTACTGTGCTACATATTGTTCTAAATTCATTATTAATTTATTATGTCATTTTGAGTTTTTTTTTTAACTCTGCCGTATTGAACTACAATTGTGCTAATTTTTGCCGTAAATACGATAGCAATATTTTATATTGTATTAAAAAACAAAAAATTTATAGTACCGCACTAGTTTCTGATTGAGCTAAATTTTTTTTAAATAAAAGCATACTAACTGGTTTAGTAAAAAAATACTGTCCCATGTTGTACCGTTCAAAAGACATTAATATATTTATCCATTTAGTAGAAAAAAATAACAATATATAGACAAATATCGTTATAACGCAATTTATTGTATTTCTACTATATTGTACTAATAACAGAGAACACAATACAAAAAAAAACAATAACCATAACTCAAGGAACTGATAAAAAGTCAAATATATGGAAATAGGTAAAACATAAATTTAATATTTTTTAATTTTTTAAAGTTGTGTCGGGTTGTGCTCGACTTTTTTTAACGACAAAAAATCACACCAATTATTGGATTTTAAAATACAACTACTGTTAGGAACTTAGGTTTTAAAAATAGAAAAATTTGAAATTCCATCCCATCTGAACCATGGTAGATAATCACGTTTTGTAAATTGTGTTGAGTTGTGCTAAATAAAACAACCGAGCGACAATCGAAACAAGTACGGAAGAATCAATGGAATTGAAAAAATTCAGCAAAAAAGGGGAGGATAAAAAAATTTGGCAGCACAACTTTTAATAATTTGAAAATGTCAAATTGTTATGTTTATCTACTTTTCAAATTTTTTCAGTAAATAGATAGATATATCGATGTTTTTTCAATGATTCAACGTGGCATGAAGTTAGTATCTTTTTACTAAAAAAAATTTGAGTTTAATCGAGAAAAATAGTATACTAACAAAAATTTTTTTTTAACTTTGAATACGGTTCAAAATATTATTTTCATATTAGCGGCAAAAATTAGCACAATTGTAGTTTAAGACTTGAATACTTGAATACGGTACTATTAAAAGAAAACTCACAATTCAACAAATACGGAGTTATCTTCACAGAGGTAAGGCTTCTGAAATATTCGACATTAATACAAAAAAAAAATGAGTAAAATAGTTAACATGCAGTGAATTAGGTTTGACGAATAAACTTTAGAATCGCGTTTTCAAATTATCTGTTTCAACAAGCAAAACACCAAACGCACTATTTGCATTCGAATAACTTGGTAGGAAACGATTATTTCTCCCATAAACAGGAAGCACTCAATCGTCACTCAATCTTTCTTATCGCGAAGCGGCCTAAAGGAACAGTTCTGCTATTACGTACAAATCGTAAGTTCTCTGATGGACAAGACCGGCGTTAGTGAGCATCCACGACTTAACGTTCCTACCCAAGCTGCTGCAGCTGTAGATCGTGTTGTCTATCGCCGTCATATCCTTGATACCTGAGCTATGTGCGCATATGCGGCCGGAATTCTCGATTTCATGAGATAATTTCTTGCGTGAGGGAATTTCCTTGTAATGTAAGTGTCTGTTTGACGTATAAACTACATGAGAGATTCCATTCTGAAAGCGGGAATGGTTATCATTATATCGTTTTCTACAAAGAGAGTAGGGCCACTTGACATAATATGCTACCTACTACATGCATCAGTGACACAGCATCTATAATGGAACCATGTGTTTCCTTCATGAACAATCTATTCTTTTGCTGTTTCCACAGTGCTGTTTGTTGTTTGATTGCAACGTATGACAACATCCAACACAGTTTGTCGGGTCTCGCTGTAATTGACATGTGACTTCTTACATAAAAAGATATGAAAACTTATTCATACCGTAATACTGATTGTGAATACAAAAAATCATACACATATAACTTGAATTAAGTACAAATAAACTACAAACACATTCTGGATCAAATGTCTACACAGAAAGTAAAAAATTTTAATAAGGTCTAAATCCATTTACTTAAAATTATTTTTTTATTGAAGTAAATATATTCATGCTAGTTAAATCAAAATATTTAATTCTAAATAAAAATGTATAATTCTACATAAAAATGTTTATTATATTGCGTAAATAAGCTGTTAAGAACCACATAATAAATATTCTTTTTAATAACAATATTTTCTTTTCAGTGTATTCAAGTTCTTACTTTATGCACATCCGATTGCTGCATTAAATAGAGTTGTACAAGCTTTCTCGATACGACTTTTTATAAATAAAAAAAGATAGAGATTAAGAAATATATAATGTTTTGTAAAACACGCTAATTTTTTTAAGACGAAAAAGAGAACTAAGAACTGCAACTAATGTGCAATTTGCAAATGCTTGCGGAAGCTCAAACAGCGTTAGCGTAAAATGGCATACACATACAGAGTGTTTTATTTATTCACAAAAGTAATTGGTTGTGCAAGGCGTAAGGTGTTATTAATTTGAACTAACCGAGAGGCAAAAGTGGATAGCTAGCATCTGGCCATATATGGTTAATTCGTGCTTTCCACAATGAGTTTGCATCTTTTAAAATCAGGTAGAACCGTGTGCACACTAACCTCAAACCGTGTACCAACGTCGACCCATCTAGAAAGGAACAAATATGCAGGAATATCTGAAATACAGCAGAATAAAAAAATTAAACGCACAGCCAAACAAACGCTCCGGAAGAGATGGAGACAGAACAAAAGAGAGAGTCGACCGTCGCTGGTTCATCATACTCCTTCGACAAGCGATTCTTACTTAGGTACGGAACTTTTCGGAATAGATTCTGATCAAAATTGCTTAGTTCTTTTTTTTAGATTTTTATTGTGCTTTTTTCTAGAAAAAAAATAATCCTGATTGGAATCCATTCTTAAAAGTTCTATAATGCGTGACTAACGGATGCAATAATAGCGACAATTAAAAAAAGAAATTTCGTGCACGTGTACGCAGGCATGCGTTACACGGGTTTTTTATTTTTTCTTATACCAACCTCGACCGGGAGACGCTGCAGTGGTGACAGTTGTGCATTTTCCTCGCCGTCGTAGGCGCAGCTTATATTCTCGTTATCCATTTTATCTCGCGGCAAATCTGAATAGTTTTATTCGATCTAATCGGAAGGCAAACCTCCCTCCAGGCTGGTTACCACTAATTTCGGGAGGGTGATTGGCCATCGGAGCGCTACATCATC